AAAGGGGGGGGGGGGGGTGAGGAAGTATCGTAGGGTCCTATGATCAGCTCTCCATCTTTCTGTCAGACTGTGCCCTTCAAAAGCGTTTCTCAGTTTTTTTTTTTTAAATCCCTTAGGTTAGACAAGAAGGCTAGAGGAGCTGGAGCTGGGAATTTCCATTCCCCCAGGTTGATTGGGCTCTGGTAAAATAGTCTCCTTTTTGTGCAGGCCTTTGTTAAGGAGAATGGAATGCTCTGGTAGTATTTAAAAATGGCTACTTTCCCCTCCCTCTGAGAAAAGGAGGAGAGAATTTTTCTTAGATCTTCACTGTGAGAACGTGGTAGGGCTCGAGGTGGGGCCTCTCTACCACTAAGTCTTCGGAGTTTTTACCTCTCAAGACAGCCCACACTCAGATTCTAGCAGTTAGTCAATTACCCTTTAAAGTATTCCTGCCTGATGCTGGCTCCAGTGATGGGTTCTGGGCAGTTTCTGCTCTGGGTAAGCTCTGATTCTCTGCATCTGCTTGCATCTAGCTTTCAGGTCAGTGTGTGCCCTGTGCCCCCAATTCTCTGATGGATATAAGAGAAGTTGTTGTTGATTTTCCATTTTTCAGTTTTTTTTTTTTGCTATGAGGACAGAAGTGATGACGTCCAAGTTCTTTCTGTGTCAAAGATGCTACACTACTTAAAGAAATCTTTTGGCATCTCTTTGATTATTTACGTAGTGAACTTACTCCATTAATGTAGGTAGATATTTTTAAGATTTTAAATACATACTGCCAACCTTCTCTCCAAAGGAGATGTACTAAAATAACCTAAACATATTTTTACCGTTTTATTTTCCTGCTCACAAACCTTCAGTTACCTCATTGATTCAAGATGAATTCCACCCATCCCTGCTAAATACACATTCCTCTGGTGTTTGGATAGGGTCACTAAAATCTTTTGTACAATTTGGCCCTTATTTGTTGTTCAAATTGATCTCTCCCTACTGCCCAAAGTGGTCCTCTGGTTCCAGTACCTTGTTAACTCACTGTCCCTAGATATGCCATGATCGTTCATTTTGTTTTTGTTCAAGTCATCCCTCAATGTTTATAATGCCTTACCAAGTCCCCTTAGCCTTTTCCAATTCCGTATGTTCTTCTCTGACTGCCCACCTTGCCCTCACCCATTTCAGATATTGGATATACAGATGGACCCTGACTTAATGATTTTTCAACTTTACAATGGCATGAAAATGATAGGCATTCAGTAAAAACCGTACTTCAAGTACCCACACAGCCATTCTGTTTTGCACTTTCAGTACAGTATTCAACACATTACATAAGATATTAAACACTTTATTATAAAATAGGCTTTGTGTTAAATGATTTTGCCCAACTGTAGGTTAATGTAAGTGTTCTGAGCACATTTAAGGTAGGCTAGGCTAAGCTATGATGTTCAGTAGGTTAGGTGTACTAAATGCAATAATTTCAGGATATTTTTAACTTATGATGGGTTTACCAGGAAATAACCCCACTGTTCATAAGCATCTGTACAGCTATTTATTTATAAGGTATACTCCAGTGCACCTTTGCAGGTGTCAGGAAGCCAAGAAGTTTTTAGACTACTTCTGCAATATGGCCACAGAGGATGAGGCCAAATACAATCTCCACAAAGTGAAAGGGTCTGGTTTAAGTAATGGAACTGAGAATCTCTGACATCATTTGGAATAACTGTGAGTTGGCTGTTTATGAAATAAAATTATATAATTACAGTTTTTGAATTTTTTCTTCTGATTATGTTTTTCAGGATTTTCTACCTATTGCATCATGACTCCATTAAGTGACTCTCCTAACTTCCCTAATTTAGTTTCACTTTTTTGCCCAATTTAAAACATCAATACCACCAAAAACTAATATCCTGGACAAATTATTAATAATGTACTTAATGGCATTTAAAAATTTACCTATTTTTACCCTCTGTCACTTTAGAAAATCCTATCTACAAAACAACTATTTCTATGATACATACACATAAAAGTTAACTACACTTGTGTCACAAAGAATGAAAAGTCTAATAATAAGTAAATGCATGGTACAAAGAATGATAATTAAAATGAAGAAAAGCTGTTACCAGTTTTGAAAAACAGCGTTTTCAGCCCTAAAGTTTGATTTTGAAAAAATTAAAACAATAAAAACTCACGTTCCATTTGCTCAAACATGACTGCGAAGAGGAAGTCTCGTGGTGTCATATAATATTCTCCTTCATGTTCCAGTGAAGAAAACTGCATAAAGCGCCATTTACGAAGAGACAGTTTCCCTATCATTCCATGGTCAACATTTTTCTAAAGGAAAAAGAAATTGCAATTTAGCATTTTTTTCAGAATTATTCCCAAACTCAAGCTACTTGTAGAATAATCTTTAAAGAGCAATTTTCATGTTTAGGTTTGACAACCCCCAAACTTTTAAATTATTCACTTAACAAATATTTGCTGACTGCCTACTATGCACTTTTAGGCACTGAAGTTACATTCCAGAAAGGGAGAATGACAATTAATGAACAAATGTATAAAATAAGTATAATGGTGATAAGTGTTATGGAGAAATATAGAGCAGGATAAGAAGGTGATAAGGGGTAGTGCTTTAGACAGAATAGTCAGGGAAGGTCTTTCTGAAGAGGTGGCACTTGGCTAGATGAAGTGAAGTTAGCTAGTCATGAGCGTCTCTGGAGGAAGAGCATTCTAAGCAAGAACGAAGCCCATGAGGAGGGAATAAGCTTAGTGTGCTCAAGGAACAGCAGGAAGGCCTATGTCAGTAGACAGAATGAAGAAAGAAGAGAGTGGTAGGAGATCAGAGTGAGAGGCAGGTAGCAGATCACATAAAGTTGTGCTTTTATAAAAATAAAATATATCATATCTGATATGGATTGTAATGTGTCCCCCAACTTTTAAGTCACTTAAGCTAATCCATATTTTAACTATTGAGAGGGTGGGATATCCTATTATGGCAATTGATAGGTGGGGCCTTTAAGAGCTGATTAGATTCTGAGAGCCATGCCTAGTGAATGGATTCATAACGGTGGTCATGGGCATGGTTCTGAGGGCTTTAAAAGGAGAGCAAGTGAGAGTCTCTCTTTATCTGCTTCTGCCATCTCGCAATGTGATACCCTGTGTCACTGAAGCCACCACCTAGGAAGACCCTCACAGATGTGTTCCCTGGACTTTGGACTTCCTGGCCTCCGAAATGTAAGAAATAAATTTTATTTTCTTATAAATTACCCAGTTTCAGGTATTTTGTTATAAAGCAACAGAAATGGACTAATACAATATCTGATAAATAATTCCACTTTCAGAAATATAAGTGAGAGAACAACAGGTAGAAAGTGCTAAAAGAACAAGGATGGTGATGGAGTTTGGATGTGTTGTCCCCTCCAAAACTCATGTGGAAATTTGATCTCCAGTGTGGCAGTGTTGGAAACTGATTGAGTCATGGGGGCAGATCCCTCATGAATTATTAATGCTCTCCCAGGGGGAGGGGGGATTAATGAGTGAGTTCTTGCTCTATTAGTTCCCATGAGAGCTCGCTGCTTAAAAAGACCCTGGCACCTGCTCTCTCTCTCTCTCTTGCTTCCTCTCGCCATGTGATCTGCTTATACCCTCTGGCTGCCTGCCACTTTCCGCCATGAGTAGAAGCAGCCTGAGGCCCATGCCAGATGCAGCTGTCCCAGAATCGTAAGCCAAATAAACCTCTTTTCCTTTATAAATTACCCAGTCTCAGATAATTCTGTTATAGCAACACAAAACGGACTATACGGATGGGTAAAATACTGTTCGTATAAGAGTATGCATCTCAGGCAGCAGGACCTAGAAATTGACCAACTGTCAATAGAGATAATATTGAAATCTTTATTGTTAACTTTTCATTGAGCACTTACTATGAGCTTGGCACTATTTACATAGATATTTAGATAATACTCACAATACCTCAGATACCATGTGGATATGGAAACTGAGAAGCAAATGGCAGAGCCAGGCTAAAAAACCAGGTCTGTCCAATTCAAAGGGTTTCAATCTCTTGACTACCACTCTGTCCTCTTACACATGACTTGGCATGTAGACTACTATGAACTTGGCAGACTGGAGGAAGATGACAGAGCAGCTAACACAGACACCTATATGTTGATGCAGGAATCCTGACTCAAGAATATATTATCTGTGAAATCCAATTCCAGGCTTTCCCCCTGGGCTGTTTTCCTAAGGCACTGCTCTAACTTGGACCACAACATACTCCCTGGATACATCATCTACTTCTCACACTTAGTACTGACCCTGACACACAAGTGATGTTCAGTGACTGCTGACTTGAATTGAAATGGAAAAAGTATGAATTCCAGTTGCTCAAACCTCTCCAAATTCAAAGCTGTCAACAGTCTCTTTTTGGCTGATCTCAGTTCTCTAATATATTTCCCTGAGCAGCTAGTTTTACACCTCTTTTATGTTTTGTACAGTGCCTACCAGAATACTGGATATATACAGAATACTCAATAATGTTGCAATGATCTGCACCCTTATTTTCTCTATATCATTCCTTTTCTTCCCCCTTAAATTACTACTATAAAGATAATACAAGGGGCATGTTTAAATTCTATGAGTCCATACTCATCTAGTAATCAGAAAACTGAATTTTATTAATACTTCTGAACATTTTACACGAGGCATATACATACACACATAGTAAAATATCAATATCTATACACAGCAACAGATACATATTTTATTTAACAAATTGTTATTGAGCATATATTGGAAAGCAGTGGTAAGTAAGGTAAAAATTAATTCCTAACAGAAAGTACTAAGTGCTTTGGCAGTGAACTTATAGAGAGTATATGGCTGGGATGGGGAACAGAGGGTAGGTAAAAGTATTCTCAGTAAAGGTATTAGCATTTGCAAAGTCCTAGATATGAGAGTGAATACAGCATATTAGAAGAACTGAAAGAAGTTGAACAAGAGCATATATATTATTAGTTTAGAGAACTTTTATATTTATTATATAGTAATCCCCCCTTATCTGTGGGGGATACATTCCAATACCCCCAGTGGATACCTGAAAATGTGGATGCTATAGAACCCTATATATATGAGGGGTTTTCAAAAGTTCATGGAAGGATTCATGTTATCTTTTTTTTTAATTTGGTGGCTGGCTCGTTTGGGATTCAAACCTGTGACCTTGGTATTGTACTGTTGCACTCTAACCAACTGAGCTAATTGGCCAGCCTGTATTATCCTTAATTCAATTTTTCCACAAACTGGTTCTGGTCAAGATGGTAGAATAGACAGTCCCCAGTGTCACTCTCTTCCACAAATCAACCAATTTACAAATATGAGAAAGCAACAACAGCCAAGCTGGGGCTGCTAGAGCTCAGGGGAAGAAGAGGAGAGACCTGTGGAGTTCATGAAGGCAGGAGAAGCCATGACAAGAAGGAAAGGACTGTTCTGTTTTGAGCCCCAGCAGCTTCAAGGCTGGAGCTGGTGAGTGCATGGAGCAAGAGCTGGCAAAAGCTGCAGCTGTGCCCTTCCTATGAAGTTGCTTGGAGGCAGCAGGGGAAATGAGGGCTGTGGTGGCCCTTATGCCAGCAAGACCACTAACAGGGTTCCCGTGGACCCACACAGGAGCAAGGAGCCACAACAACAGAAAAAAGAGCCATGCAGAGGCCGGTGAGTGGGGGACATGCAAGGGACTGGCACACTGCCCGTCCCATGGGAAGTGTTTTGAGTGCTGGCAGTGGGGGAGATGTCAGGGGAACACTGGGGCACAGCATGGACAGCTGATATGCCCTCCAATCAGCACAGGCCCACTCAGAGTTGACTGGTCAGGAATATAGAACTGCAGGGGGTGGAGTTTGATGAAAAGTCTCAGGCTCAGACCAGAGTTTCCATACAACTCAGGTGTACTGCACCTCATAAGACCTGGAAATACAATACAAGGTCAACCATTAAAACCTGAGCTACACAAAAAGCCTTCCCCAGGGAGTGAGCAGCAAAGCAGTAATTTAGCTCAACTACAGGGCTCAAGTGCTGGTTCCCACAGGAAGTTCCCCCATTTTAGAAGTAAGCAAAGGGCAACAAATTAGTTTCAGTGTAGAGTTTAAGTAGTGAGAACAGCAAATAATCCAACACAAAACTGAAAGAAAAAACAAAGTACCCACAGACCAGAGACAAAGTTTGACATTAACTAGTAAAGGTCTCACATCACCGAAGAACACCTATAAAACTTAGAAGGACGAGAAGCCCCCTGGGCTACCAAGCCAGGGAGGAGGAGGAGGGCCAGGGGCCTGAGCTATGCCCCCTGACACCTGCAACCAGCCCAGCAATGACCACCGAGCTGCCACTGGAAGCCGCCTGGTCTCTCCTGCAGGAATGAGGGGGGGTGTCATAGGCCTCAACCACACTCCTTCTCCTTCCTCCTTTCCCTACCCTATTTTCCTCCCTCTCTCCCCTCCTCCCCAACTGCTCCGTAAAATCTTAGAATGTAAAAAGTAATAATATTAATAAATAAATTTAAAAACAAATAGCAGAGAGAATCTGAGGAGAGAACCAGACAGATGGCAGCATGAGAAGAACTCAGCCTGATATTTCTGGCTTTGAAGATGAAAGAAGAGAGTCATGAGCCAAGGAGTGCAGGCGCTCTCTATATACTGGAAAAGGCAAAGAAACAGATTTTCCCCTAGAGCCTTCAGAAAGGAACACAGACAGCCCTGCCAACACCTTGATCCTAGTCCAGTGAGATCTGTGTCACACTTCTGATCTATAGGACTAGAAGATAATAAATTTGTGCTGTTTTAAGCCACTACGTTTGTGATAATTTGGCAAAAGAGCAGTAGAAAATTAATACATATGGTATGTGAGTTATACGTAAATAAAGCTGTTTAAAAGATGAAAAAAAATTTTTTTCACAAATTTTTTGAAGTAGCACCCAACTGTTTTTTCCTATACCTGCATACCTACAATAAAGTTTAATTTATAAATAAGGCAGAGATTAACAATAACTAGTAATAAAATAGAACAATTATAATAGTATACTGTAATAAAAGTTATGTGAATGTGTTCTCTCTCTCAAAATTGGGGGGGAGATTAATGAAATTAAATAATCTATACAGAAAATATATTTTCAAATCCTTAAATAAATGTTGGCTCTTTTATACTTCCTAATATCTAAGTTGTTCATGATTGGTTTAAAAAAATACTTTACGGGCTGGCCCGGTGGCGCACTGCTACAGTGCACCGCTTGGGAGTAAGGCGGCGCTCCCACCGAGGGTTCGGATCCCACATACAGACCAGTTCCCGCT